CGTGATGTTCTCAGGACTGCACTTGCAGAGCAGCATTCTTGAGAATTTCGAGTCGATCTCTATCCCTGTGTATCAAACAACACGGATAGGATGGGAAGCCATAGTGTCAATGACACATCACATCAAGAATGCTGGGCTCACGGTAAATGAAGGACCACCAGTGCTGGTGAGCAAAGGGCCAACCTCATCAGGATGGTTTTGTGAAATTTCCAGGAAATCTGTCCAGAAACCATCTCCAATGTTGTAACTTTTGCTATAGAGTAAGCCATTAGAAAAAAATCATGTATTATGAGTCAGGCCATGGGGCAGTTAGTTTTGATTAGCTGGCAGGACAGTAAAATTAAATGTGCCTCTAATTGAATGGAAGAATACGTGTAGATCTGGGCTCACGGCACAAGACTTTCTCGGAGTCCTTTTATGAAGCACAGGTAGAGAAGGGACACCCTATGGTTTCTGAGGGGCTTGAAAAGGCAAGCTGAGGATTTTTCTCTAAGTAATTTAGACTGCCTGGGCACAGGCTGGAATGGCGAGGATGGAGCAATTGTTATTAAAGAGCCCAGACACAGGCCTCCTCAGTGTTAGGCTAACAGGTGGCGCCGCTGATTCCGGGAAGACCTTTTAAATCTCAACTAAAGTAAGTAAGACTAAGGGAGCCAGGAGGCCTTGTCCTGAGTGTTCCTCTGCATGTCTGTGTCGTTCTGCCTTGGCGTGTGCATCCCTAAGCCAGGTGTAAAGATGGAGAGTGCTCTGGGACCTCGGAGGTGGCTGTGTGAGGAAGGGGCAAGGTTGCCTTTGCTAGGTAAAGAGTCTCAGGAGAAGGAAAACTGGAGAGAGTTTCTGTTCACCGGCTGGCATCAGGCTCCCCGAGGGATGACCAGAGGCCATTCTGACTTCCGGAGATGGGGTTATAAGTGAGTCCTGACAAACAGGTCCATCAAGAGGGTATCTGGCAAAGCTGAAGTGTGGGCCAGCCATTGGCAGCAATGTGGTCCGGGGAAATAGACTGTATCTGACTGTCACCTCGCCGAGAGGTCTATCCAAACACTTGTGTGGGGCGACTGGAGCGTCTCTGGCTGAGCCCAGGGACCAGGAGGAGAGCTGTTGCCTAAGCCTGGCATCCAAAGTCACCTGGGTGGAGGGATGTGGCTGTGAAACTCACTGCTGACCTCCAGTGGTTGTGTCTTGGCGTGGACATGTCAGCATGCTCGAGAAGAGGGAGAATACATGGTGACTGCTCTCAGATGCCACGAGGTATGGGCTTGTGCATCTTTGCTTTCAGGCATAGATTGTGATTTATAACATATTTATTTTATATCCTCATTTTATAGAAAACCTGAACATAGAAGGGCAGGGAGGAAAAAATATGAAAAACCAAATGACATGAGTTTTAGAGTGTATATTTTTGAAGATAGTTTAAAAAAATTCAGTTTAATGGTGCTTGTCACAAATATACTCACTGATTTACTTTGGTATCCAAAGTATGGCATATGAAGGAAGAAATCATAGAAATAACGTATAAGATTGTAGTTTAGTGCTAACTTTGAAGAATAATATTAAGACACATGTATCTTTTATGACGTGCACCTTTGTTCTTATAGTGACTGAAGCAAAAGGCTTTGGAGCCAGATTTCCCAAATTTGAATTCTGGCTCTGCCGCTTACTGTTAGGGTGATTTTGGCTTAACCTTTTTGGCTTCGGTTTCCTCCCATTATTGCACTGTTTTATTTGTATAGCAGGTAAGTATAGTGTGCCTAAATATTTGTTACAATGTTGATATGCGAATAACTTTCATTTTATTTTATGTTTCACAGGGACCTCCGAAACAATCTTATTAGTAGTATAGATCCAGGTGCCTTTTGGGGATTGTCATCACTGAAAAGATTGTAAGTGTTTGAATTAATTGCTTATGAGTTTGAACTGTTCCTTTTATGAGAAGCTGTTAACTTATGTTAGCATGATAAAAAATGTATGTATAATAATTTTTAGAGAATTATTTCTTCCCTGATAGAGAAACAGAGACAGTATTTAATGTAAGTAGCTTAGAAGATGGTTAATTTGCACAGTAATTTGATTTGTTTGGTGATAGATGGCTGTGTCCCTCTTATGCTAATAAAATCATTACCATATCAGCTTTGCCAGCTAACATAATCTGTAGATGATTTTCAAGTTATGAATCCATTCAAACTGTATATGTTATAGATGCCATATAAATTAAGGCACCTTTTTTAAATTAATGATTTAAAGTCTTATTATTTTCATGTATATTTTATCCATGTATTATTTCAAAACCTAAAGACCAGTTTTTATTACTTCTATGGCTAAAAAACTCCTCTACTGCCTTATTAAGCTCTTTTTACAGTTTCATTGCTGTGTGAGCAGGCTCCCATTGGAGAAATGACTGCTCACAAGTCATGAGGACTGTCACACCACCCTTTATTCCTTCTAAACATTCACTGAACACTTGCTACGTATTACTCTCTTGACTTCTCTGGAAGATCTCATAGAATCTGGGGGGGATATTAATAAATAGTGTCCGGGAGGAAAAGTATTTTCC